TGTTTTTAGAGGTGAAGTGCAGATGTTTTTTTCTGATACTTCTTTTGCTGACCTTTAGGCAAGTCTCAGTGCTTCAGCAGTCTCAGGTGCCTTGCTTTGTTCTCTGCTGAGAAGGGAGCCAGTAAGTCTTTGTCTGTGTGCTTTGGCCCAGGGAGGTGCAGCTGTAGCTAGAGGCTGTAGCAATGTCTCCTGGCCTGGCTCAGGTGTTGCATGGCAGCAGCTGGTTGCAGAGCTGCATCCCGCAGCAGAGCAGCTGAGCAGAAGAGGCAATTGATATCACCTGGGGAGACATGCCCCCACCCTGAGTAAGTTTGCAAAGCCAAAACAACACTGCAGCTCTTACTGCAGTCATGTGCTGCTTTTTTTTTTTTCTTCCCCTTGCCATCTTCCAGAGTTTTGCTTCTGTGCCCTTCGTGTCAGGGCTGAAAGTCTTCTGCATTTGTGGGTTATGGCGTGAGCAGCCCTGTGGGAGCGTCAGCCCCCGCGCTCAGGAATCCGACTCGGGTCGATGAGTCGGTGAGTGGCTCCCTGGTGTTGGGGTTACGCAACTTCCTTGTTGGTGAGGGGGAGGATGGGCATGAAGGCAAAATTAATTTGTGAAGCATGTTGGAGATAAGTAGAGCACCTAGAAAGTTGTCATAGAGTTACATGACAGATGTTGAGGAGCTTATTAACACCACTGCTGCATGTTAAGATCAGTTAGAAGAAAAAAATAATAATTTAATAGATGAAAAATGTAGGTGTTTACCAGCATATATCACCCAGGTAGTGATGAATCAGGCAGTGAGATGATCATATTGCGCTTTGTTAGGGCTTACTTCCTCTGTCTGCATGAAAGTTTAACTTCTCTCAAGGTCCATTAGCCTTAAGTACAGTGACGTGTCTACTTTCTTATGGTTTTAAGCTTGCAATCAAAGAATAATTCAGGTTGGAAGAGACCTCTGGAGGTTTCTAGTCCAACCCCCTTGTTTAGAGGAGGATGCTCAGGGTTTTGTCTTGAATATCTCTGAGGATGGAGATCCTATAAACTCTTTGCACTTTATTCTGGTATTTGACCAATCCACATAGTGAAAAAAACCCCAACA